AGAGCTGTGGGAGGTTGCGGAATTTATGTCAGGCAAGTTCTTTCCTGACAGCAGTATCTTTTCCTTCGTGCAAAAGGAAGATGGAAAGGGGATAGCTAATGTCAATTATATGCCAATTTAACAGTGATAAACCAGGACACCATGATTTCAAGATACTTAAAAGGCTTGTACTTCCAGATGGATCCGTGCTTAGAGCTAAATATCCAGGAAGGCCATCACGAGATTGTTTATTCATTGATCCAGCTATGGGTGGAGAGAGGTATCTTCTCCCTTTCCTTCAACTGGTTAGATTCTATTTGATTCATTTCCATTTTCTTCACAACTCTTTTTGGGATATATTGTAGTCTGCTCAAAATTTGGAATTTGAACAAGTGTACTGGAGTTGTTGGCGTCTTCAATTGTCAAGGGGCAGGAACATGGCCCTGCATGAAGAATGCAGTCCAGAGAGATGTGAAGGGTGAACTCTCTGGCCAAGTCTCCCCTACTGATATTGAGTATTTTGAGGAGATTTCAGGGAAGTTGTGGACCGGAGATTGTGCAGTCTACTCCTTCAATGCGGGTAATGCTGGTGTTGACAAATGAGAATTGATTGATTTTTCAATGGAATTCTGTGTTTTGTTTATGTCTGTTCCTTGAATGCAGGGTCACTCTCTAGAGTACCAATGGGAGGATCATTTACTGTTGCTTTGGAAGTATTAAAATGTGATGTCTTCACCATTTCTCCTATTAAGGTCTTGTACTTAGCCACTCAAGTTGTGATACGTTCTTCCTGAAGCACTCTTCTAGTTTTCTCTGATGCTTGAGTTGTGAATTACCGTGCAGACTTACAATGGAAACGTAGAGTTTGCTGCAATTGGATTGATGAACATGTACAATTCTGGTGGCGCCGTGGAGTCCATTGATAGCTCCAGGAATGCTAGTATAGTGGTCAAAGGGAGAGGGGGAGGCAGGTTTGGAGCATATTCCAGCACAAAGCCCAGGTCTTGCACCATAAACACCAAGGAAGTTGAGGAATTTGAGTTCAATGGAGAAAACAATCTTCTCACAATTAGTATTCCAGCAACAACCAGTTTTTGGGACATTGCAATTCATTGTTAAGATGTAACATTGGTTATATGTATAGCATGGATAGATCATAGATTGTTGTAAAACCTAATTACCAGTTATTGACTCCATTTAAGTTGGAGGAATTCCCGGAGAGATTAATAACAATGAGGGAAATTCTTCTACCTTATTTATTTTTTATTTTAAATATTTTATTTTATAATTTAAATTATATTGAATTGTAAAATAAATATTATTAGTTAAGGGTGACATTTCCTTCACTTTTATTTAATAATTATAATTATATAATTTAAAATAATTTAAACTAAATAGTATTTTTTAATTTTATCTTTTTAAGAAGTGCTTTTTTTTTGTTTGAATAAATTCATGAGAGGTCGAATTTGAATTGTTACCATGAAAGAGGAAAGAATGCATTTATACAAAGGAGAAATGAATACATTTATATGTAATTTGACGTTACTGAACCGAATATTCAAATGCTAAGAAGTGATTTTTTAATTGAAAAAGGGAAGATATTCTAATATATTATAATTCAGTTGTTTAGTATCTTATTCGGTCGGTGGTTATAGCGATTAGGAACAAATCCCTTTCAATTTTTATAGATTAGGAATGGCAAAATTCAGTATTAGTTCCCTAAACCCCCATATTAACGTATAAGCCCTTAACTAATAAATTTGTATTTAAGCCCTGAAACTCTGTGATTGATACAAATTAGCCCCACAATTAATAGATTTCTGCACGTGTCGTCACGGGACACTAACTTTTGTTTCTTTTTGGCTTCCGTGGAATTTTTTTTTTTCATATCATTGATGATGTGGTAAATTAAAATCATCTAATTATATTAAATAAAAGTTCATTTTTATATTTTTAATATAAATTAATAATAAAATAAT